GTGTGCGCGGCCAGAGTTGGCGGCGACACGGCCCCCGCCGACGGAGCCGCCCCGGGTCGCGCCCAGGGACTTCGACAACGTCACCGAGTGCGAGGTCAAGGGCGGCACGTGCCCCGTGTGCCTCGAGGCCATGGGCAAGGGGTGCGCCAGGCTGGCGTGCGACCACACCTTCCATGCCGACTGCGTCAAGGCATGGCTCGCGAAGAAGAGGAGCTGCCCCGTGTGCCGCATGCCCGTTTTTGCCCACGTCTCGCCGCAACCGGCGGCGGCGGCGCCGCCCGCGAGCGGGGCCGTGCAGGCGGAGGCGGGGTGATGCTCAAGGCGGTTACTTTTACATTACGGCACGACATCAGCGCGAGGGTCGCTCGCTCGTCCGCGAATTTTATGTTGGAAGAAGAAGGCGTGCGGGAGAGTTTAAAGAGTTGCGGCGAGGCAGGCGGAAAGACGGGGTCGAGACGGAAGCATGATGCAGCTCTGCGGTGGTCCGCTTGGAACGGCAGCCGTTCGACATCTGTAAGTGTCGTGCAAACGGAGATGGGACACCTCGTTGGACGGTGAATCTAAGTACACACGTGTATAGTACCACGCTGGAGAATTCAGATGCTTACAGATGTCCTCGCGAGAGAGGTGACCAGGAACTCCTTCTGCCAGATACTGTACGTACGCGACTACGCATGGTGAAGAAGTCATGTCCAAGCCCCACCTTCCTTCGGCAGCACTCTTCGGCTGCGGGTTGTGCGCTACAGCACCGACATACAACATCCCCCTTTTCGAAACAAACTCCTACTCAACGCACGCGCGACAGCAACGGCGACAAACAAGAATAAAAATTTGCAACCACGCTTCACCAGCGCAAAGCTGTGCACTTTACCGACGAAACCGCAGCCAAACCCATCTCCCTTCGCACTGCCCCAACCCTGCACTCCCTCTCCACCTTTCGCCCCGCAACCAACATGCCACAAAACAAAACAAAAAAAGAACAAGATATAAACAGTACCCGAACTAGTTGCCCGAAACGGCCACAGGCTTCCCAGTAACCTTCTCATATACCGAGCGCATCATCATTGCCATGATGACCTGTATAAGCCCAGTGCCGTTCTTGCTTCCCGGCGCCGTGGGATTCCTCAGCAGCGACTGCGTAATCTCTCCGAAGAACTTAGTCCCGGCCCTCTCGATGTGCGTCTCCACATACACCATCTCGTCGAGCTTCTCGAACCCGCCGTCCACCTCAAACACGGCCACCTCCTTGTCATAGTACGTGTCCGGCCCGTAATGGAACTTGATGCCTGGGTACGAGCACGTCAGCTTCCTACCGCACGGCACCCAGTCGATGGTCGAGCCCTCGTCGTACAGGAAGATGGGGTCAAAGTTCTCCGAGTTCTCGTCCTGTAGCAGCCTCACGCGCAGCACCTTCTTCTCGTCGTCGTCCGGGATCAGCCGCGTCGGTAGGATCTCCATCACCACGTCGCAGTCCCTCTTCTGCGGATCGACGAACTGCGCAAAGTCCGGCTTGCGACTTTCAATCGACGCGAGAATGTTCTCTAGGCTATGGCCGCGCTCTGCCATGTCCCTCTGGATCTTCCAGGCGATCTTGACCTCATCCGCCAGGTCGAGGTACACGGAAAAGTCGAGCGACTTCTTGACGCGCGTGTCATACATGGGGTGCAGGCCCTCGATGACGACGATGTGGTTGGGCTCGACCAGCTCGCATTCGTCGATCTCGCCGGTCTCGTGGTTGTAGACGGGCTTCATGATGCTCTTGCCCTCGCGGAGGGCCTGGATCTGGCTGGCCATGAGCTCGAAGTTGTTAGCGGCCCCGTCCAAGGCCGTGACCCTGGCCTCGCGGCGGCCCATCCGGTCGTGCAGATGGTAGTCGTCGAGGCAGATCACAGAGATGAAGTTTCCGACGGGGGTATGTGTCTTGGAGACCTCGGTGCCGAAGATGCCTGTGACGCGGCGCAGGAAGGTGCTCTTTCCGCAGCCGGAGTCTGCGGCCACGCCGATGATGACGGGGCGCTCGATGCCCTTCTTGGCCAGCACCTCGGACACGTTGGAGGCGATCTTGGCGTTGGCGTGGTGCGAAGACTTGTCCGCGCCGGGCGCCTTGACCCACGTGTCAGTGGAGACGTTGACCATGCGCGGGGCGAGGCGCACGGAGGGGGGCGACAGGCGCGCGGCGCGAGTGGGAAGGACGTTGGCGCCCAGGAAGGGGCGGCGCGTGGCGACCGGGGCGGCATGGCGATGCGTGGAGAGGGGGACGGCGGCGCCGGTGAGGAAGGCGTAGACGGGAGCCATTGGGAAAAACTGTTTGGGACGGGGTCGGGGAGGGGCGGGGAGGGGCGGGGAGGGGCTGGGGGTGACGGGGAGTGGCGGGGAGTGGCGAGGAGAAGGGGGCAGGAGGAGCAGGCGGTGGGTTTTGAAGGAATGGATGAGGAGTCGTGGGGGCGATGTGTCTGGCTGGGAAGCTTCGCGGAGATGCGGAGCTCTCGGCCACAAAACGGACACACGTGTGTGACGTGGCGATGGGGGCCAATAGGAACGCGGCAGGGTTTGTGCAGTATGAGCGGTTGAGCTCCCGGGCCGGGCAATGGTGGCCTGCCACATGGCGTGCCCCGGTTGGAACCCTTGCTTTACAGAGACTGTCCGGCCGGGCTTACACAACACTTAGATCTGCCTCCCCCGATGCGGGGGTCGGAAGAAGTGTCCAGTACCCTTAGAAGGGTACTTGTAACTTTACGCGCAGTAGACGCACGCGACTCTCACCTCATGCATCCATTTATGATCATCACGTGTGAGCCCGTATTTGACGGGCACACGCCACTGCTCACTACCCAGGTAGGCGCAACCATGTCGTCGGAAGCCCCAGCCCCCTCTCAACCGCCAGTAAATTTAAGTGTCCCACCACCACAGTCCCGACTATTCCCTTCAAACTAACACTTTTGCCTTTGCACTTTTCCTTCATGCGTTTCTCATAAATCTATTCCACATAAATCAATCTCCAAAGGTGTAACTGCATGTCGCCTGACCTCTAGTAGCTATGTTTTGTACCTCTTTTTAACTAATCAGAAGGAACATCCCTGCCCCATAAAACCACTGCATCCTGTATCTCGCCTTGTCAGAAGCCCGGCACCACCCGTGTAACCCTTTCCCTCTGTTCAGTCTTTCGTCTTGCACACCTGTTCCATCGCCAACTCTTTCATTCTCTCCTTTTCGGTACACATGACACGTGTCCATACCTTGTCTAGGCTGCTCGCCTCTACAAGTACCACATTGCTCCCTTACTGAATGGCAAAATCATTCTCCTCTGTTGTGCCGATTTCCTCGTACCGTCAGGAGGCATCATACGGCGGTCACCAACCCCGTTGAAGACTAAACTTTCAAATTTTGGCAATATTCTCCACCCGAAAAAGCTCTCTCCACCTTCACACTCACCTCTGGCAACCAACTCGCATCGCTGCGCCCTACGTTCGCACGGTACGGAAGCTTTTGATAGCCTGTTCTTTCGCGTCAAGAAAAAACCCTCAAGTATGCATCTGTTCCACAGCCTATGGGCTCATATCGTATTCACAGAGCTGCAGACACCGTTTTCACAACTCTGATGATAGATATTCTATTGTCAGTGCTCCAAACTTCTTGCAGTGAAGGAACAGAAAAGCCAGTGCTGAGTGAGAGTATGGAGCCGCTTTGCCTTGCCCAGTTCGTTACAATGAGTCTCATCTTTGAGAGAAAACGTGCCCCTGGGTTATCAAGCTTTCACACGCATTCACGAGAATCTAGGATGATATTTCTTCGGTTTTAAGAGCGACCATTGCAAAGGGGCTTCGGATGCTTTCTCGATGAGCACAATCGTGTCGTGGGCGATCCTCCACTGTATCGCTTGTGCCCTAGACTCATTTCTCATCATGTAGCTAGAGAGGCCCGTTGTTTTGGAAACATTCTTTCCCTGTCTAACTTGCAATGTTCGATTCAGGGCTCTTCCCCGAATCCGAAGATACAAGATACGTTGCTGCTATATATTGCGCCGTTCTATACAAGTGCGGTCTCTGGAAGTCCTTCATTCTTTTAATAATCATGGTCATATTTAAACGTGTGTCTTCGAATATGTTCTTGCCACATAACTTATCAGTGAGCGTTTCGTTTATTGTAAGTTGCTGTCAACCTCATGCAGAACCTATAGAGCAGAAGCATGCTGCTGTAAAGATGCGCATTCGGTCCCGCAGATGAAACCTAAGTCTGTGCGCTCAATCAATCAATTTAACTACCATCTCACATGTGTTGTGTCGGTTTCCTCCACTCCGCTAAATTGGCCACCCTCGACAATCCTGAGCGATCGGTGATCCCCGTTCGGGCCCTAAACCCCCTTTTTCGGTGAGCTGTGGGTCTGCGCCAGGCTATTCGTCTCAGCAAGTTTATTTGAACCCAAGCGCGCGTCTCCTTCGTATATTCTCATTCACCTTTCTATACTTCATGCACTGCGCCTTAGACGGGCATCTCCTCGAGCAATGGCAGCATTCCCAATCGCTAGTCTCGTCACATGCGTCTGCAAAGTTGCCCATTGCATGTATGGCAAAGCATACCTTGCACACCACTTTTCGGCAAATTCCCCTCTTCAAGTTGACACACAAGGCGTGCCATGGCCTTTCAGTTTGCGATGAGTTAGGACGTCGCCCGCAGATGTGGCAGAAGGTGCTTGGCGAGGCGTTTGGAAAGTATGCTGGGCGTCTCTCTTTGCGACTTTCATCCATCTCTGCAGATTCATTAAAGCCTTTCTCATTGATAGTTTCCCATTGCGCTGTTGGTGCAGATCCAGTAGTTTCCTGCGTAAAAGGATTGTTTAAAATTGTATGCACAGTTGAATGCTTCCAATTGTTTCTACCCGTTTGCTCGGTCCGCGCCGGCAAAATTTGTATAGGCACATTCATGCTGCATGGATGTAATTGAGTCGGTGACGATGAAGCCATACTTGTTAATGTGGATGGAGTAATTGGGGCAGTTGGTGAATTCGGAGAGTTGGTTGGCGTTGCTTCAGAAGTTGTGCTAGATCTGATATTTGAATGGGAGTTATCGATGCTTGTGTCTTCTTGGGCGGGCAAACCACACCCGATACTGCACGATGGGTGGAGGTTGTTTGTGTGAGTCTTCGATATACACTCTTCGAGCAACTCAAGGTTTCGTATATGTTGATCCAACTCCTGTGCGGAAGCCAAACGATATTGCGGGATGCCTTCCATCATCTGAGCGTTTTCTAGCTTGTGAGAATTCACAGTGTAGACATCGCACGGGAATTGTGTAAAAGAGTTGAACACAGAGCAGGAAAAGGCTTTTTCAGTCAACTCTTTAACCACATCAAATTCGCTCCGCGGCGTAGCAATCGAGGGGTTTGGGTTAGTCTCATGGTCGAGGATGTCACCCCAATCCACCTTCTCAAAAGAAATGTCGAGTGTGGAGATACTGGCTGGAGAGAGATTGCATGTTTCTAGGTCCATTTCTTTGAAGAGAATGTCGTATGGTGAACGCTTCTCATATCCAAGAGGCTGAAGAAGTTGTGGCGTCGCAAGTTTCGCAAACTGGGGGGTCAAAAGCGTTAGCATATCCTCATATTTTACAACTTCTCTGTTAAATATCCCGATAGTAAGATGGTAGGCTCTCTGAGAGAACGTTTACTGAAGATTCTACTGGACTCGTTTTTGATAGCATCTCTGTCGGGCAAGCTGGTTAGGGAAAAATATAAGAAAGCACCGTGATATGAAACGGAGGGATGAATGCGAAGCCTGTATTTTCTATCTTCTTTCTCCCAGCTCGAATTGATCTAGACTGGCATGAAGTCTATGCTGCTTCGAAATTCGAAGCAGCATAGACTTGATGCGTGAAGTAAAGTTTGAGTGCAGATCTCCTCTTCTGATGGTTTTATGTTTGTCTCCGATCATGGATCAGGTCTCAAGCTAAATAGATTTTTTGCAGTAGTTTGCTACTTGCAATTTTGAAATATGGAGATGATTCCCCCAGAAGTGCGTATATTGTAGCAGACCTTGATTTCTCTGACATAGCATTATCTTTCATGAATTTATTGCTTTGCGAGACGTAGCTTGTACTGGCACCTACTCGCAAGTCAAAGTGAAGCACCAACTCTAGCTTTCCAAGACAGAAAGAGGAGTTTTTGAAGCTGAATTTTGCAATAGAGCTGTTCGAACAATTGTGCAAGTGTCAAAAAAAAAAAAAAAAACCTTGAGATATTACAGGGTAATTCTTGAACTGTCTACACAATTCGCGGAGATTTTCTTAAAACATCCATAGCAAGACAGCTACGAAAAAAACTTGGACGTGAAGTGATGAAATTGAATATGCTGGACATAAAACCAAGTATGTGACTTGGCTCATACTTGTCCCAAACAGTGAAAGCCCCGTGAGATCTCCCCAGGTGCTCTATCTCTGGACTTTTTGAAAAGACCTGTCTCGAATTTGCACATACGACATGGGAGCACTCCTCCCTCTGGGCGACCTATCTGTACAACTTGTACTGTACCAAGCACACATGCGCAAATGGCAGAGGCATTCATAATTGAAGGTAGAAGAAGCTTCCACGTCTATGCTAAATTTTGTGGGTCTCCATTCAATCCATTCTACAACGATGCAGGGTGATTGTTTGGAAAGCGCGATGCAGTACTGCACTGCAGTAATGGACATGTTCGGAAGGAAGAGAGCTGAGAATAATTTAGCTCTGACGTTTAATTTACGATGCGCAATGGCACGGGCTTGTGAGCTTCCTGGATGCCACAAAAAGTAGACAGGTAAACATGGAAACAAGAAGTTAAGGCCGCAGCACAGCTGCGGCCTTAACGAATGGCTTGAAGACAGATGCAGCACAGTGGTGCAGAATGGATCATTCTCAGGGGAAAACGAAATGGGTGATATATCGGTACGATACTGTTCGTAAATACTGCTTTGCAGCAGGTCATGAAAAATTGTGTTTTGAAGCGCGAATAGAGCGCCGAGCGCCAACTTCCTCTACACGTACGGTACAGAATGTCCCCTCTCGTGTCGCGACCATATGCCTCGTTGTGTCTGTACAGTACCATCAACGGTACTGTACCGCAATGCTGTACGATAAGGTTATGTAACCAACTGTCAATTACTGTAGATGTGTGACTACAGTACTGTATATAAACTTTATTTAGTAGTCGTACACTGTGCTGTCCCGTGGGTCCTTGTTTTTCTCCGTTTTTCTCTCTCTGCAAAAGTGGAAACTATTATTAGAGCACCCCTCTAGTGGTAGAGTAAATGAGTAAATTTTTGATTTTTGGAGATAGATTTGGTCACGAGCAGCTCTAGTGGAGTGAGTATCTCTAAAAAATTTACCATTTTGAGTAAATCTATCTCCAAGCAGCCGACCGAATGGAGACAGATTTACTCATTTGCACAAATAGAGATGCGAGTAGAATTGCGCCACTTGGAAGAATTACCAAAAACCCACGCCAATTCTATTGACTTGGCGCGAGCAATGTTCTCTGTGCACAGGGAACACCCCCAACACCCCCCATCCCAAGCTGAATTTACCTGCCACTGCCACCCTCCTGCATTCTTCCTGACGCCTTCCTTCCCTCCCT